AATCTGTAACTATGTTAAATTGCCTGAAATTAATGAAAAAAATAAAAAAAAAATTCCTAAATCAACCCTTCAACATTTTTTAAGGGTTTAAACAATTGGTATCAAATGATACATCTGTGCCAAAATGGACCACAAAAAAAAATAAAAAATAGTCAAAGTTTATGAATACATTTATTGAATAATAACCATCTGAATTACCTTATTCAAACAATACAACTAGATAACTAGGTATAACAAAATACAAACATAACATTCAAAGTTAACAAAGTTAGTAAAATAACATAATATTAATAAAATACATAAAATAAAATATTTTATTTCTATATATTTAAATAATAAAATAATAAAATAAAAATAATATTTATAGGAACTTCCTTTTTCACTATTAATTAAAATTTTTATGTAGTAGAGTAAAAGCTTATACAAAACATAACAATGTTAATAAAATAATAAACCAAAAACAATATTTATAGGAACCTCCTTTTTTACTTAAAATTAAAGTTTTGGTATAGTAAGTATATTTAAGTCTCAAATTTTTACTGGTGTTTTGGTATGGTAACTTTCCATACACTCTGGGCAAACAGGGAAATCACATGGAACTATCTGGGTAAGTTTTATCGCTGGACGTGGAAGGGCTAAAGGCAAATGCATCATCAACAGGAGTATTATTTTCTACTTCATTATTTTGATGCTGTGATTGTTGTCTGATATTATTTACAAAATTATCATAGTTATCTACATCATTGGCATCCATAACAAAAATGCTAGCTGATAAATCATCATATTCATATCTTGTTTCACTGTTTATATTACCCAGGAAGTCTTCAATAGGTTGAGGGGTTGGATGTACAATTTCCTCAGTATCATTGTCATTTTGTTCATACAATATATTATCACCATTACCATCAGAATCATTATTATCGTCATCACTGTCACAAAAACTAGCTTCTGAACCACTTGGCAAGTCAAAGTCCAATAAATATTCAATGTCCTTGTCATTTAAATCCATATTATTAATTTTCTAAGACATATATAAAGCCAAAATGAAATATACAAATTTTTAATAAAATGTGATATACACGTACCTGAACTGCACAGTTGTATCATATGATACCATGGATACTTGTGTGTATTACGAAGTAATATTAATATAAAATCGACAAAACTATTGATAATATAAATCTTTATAACATTTCTAAACTAAAAAATATTAAAATATAGTGAAACAACAGTTATAAATGAATAAAACTTAACAACAAACATGACAAGAATTGTATTTTTTCATAATCACGTATTATGATTTTCAAACATTGATAATATAACTGTATGATATGAGAGACATGAAATATTTCATGGAATAAAAACTATRTGTGTTGATAATCGGTTGATCCAATTGGTTGTATATAATAATGTAATCTAAATTATTTTCCCGCCATAATATGTTATGGTATCATATGATACCAATATGCATGAAGAGGTTAAGTTAACAAATTATATTAATATTACTAATATTTTATTATGAATATAATTAAAAACCTGTAGGTCTGTATCATTTTAGAACTCTACTTATTCACATTAATTCAAGCATGGTTCATTTAAATTTAAAGTTGAATGTTAATTTGTTTAGTGTATATTGTTTAACATTTAAAATCCAAAAAATTCCTACTCAAACATTTAAAAATTATAAAAAACTTCTATACATATTTCTTCTTATAGGTTTTGAATAACATATATAYTTAAATTAAGATTAGTATTTTACAACTAGGCTGTTCAAAATATCTAATACATTTTAATAAGAGTGTTGACTGTATGAACCGTCAATGCATCAATGTATAATTAATGTATAATGTATATTTCTAATCAATTTTGTTTTAGAGTTAACTGGATTTAAAATTTACTAAGTTAATACACCAGTGTAGATAGGAAAGCATTTTTACTATTTTTGTAATTAAATCATAGTATTAAATATGACATATATCAATCAAAATGAACATTTGATAATCGCACACTAATAATATAACTTTAAATATTATAAATGATAAGTATCTAATTATATTTTTATATTATTGTGATACATATAACAATATAAAAATAAAGAGAGTAAAAATGGATTAATTTCCTAATTTTTACATCAGAGATAAAAGGAAAAGTCTCATAATAATATCTTGTATTGAGTAAACTTCTAGATTTATGTATTTGATTTTTTTTTTATGAGATAGTATCCAAGTCCATTATATTAGATAACATTGAAACAGATTAAGTCTGATTTCAAAACTGTTAGAATTAAAATAAGATGATAATTTGGCCCTTCATAGTTTTCATATTAAGATGATATATTTTTACAAAACTAAATATATTTTTTTCATTAAGACATTATCAGTACTCTTATTATTATTTATACTACAATATTAATTTTTTATAATACATTTACATTACATTTCTGATATTATAATTATTAATTAATCAAAATATAATATAAAAATAACAATTCTGTAATAAAATATACCTAAAAATATAATAACTAAAAAGTTTTTCTTTATAACATTTTCAAAATGTAGTAGAAAGTTCTATTTTACTTCTAAAAAACCTTATATGATGACAGCAGGTACCTTRATTTGGGATCTTTRTGTGAAACGAAATTTTAAATGTATATGATAATGATATAAAATCTTTACAAAATTCAAACTAAATCCCTCTATAAACATTACTTAAATGGTATTATATGCATAAACAATTTAATGTGAAAATAATAATATTATTTTACAGTCAATAATGACATGTACTATTCTGTCCGAAATAAATATATCATCAATTTTGTTTTATAGTTAACTGGATTTAAAATTAACTTAAGTTAATTTCATCATAAAAACTTTATGACAATTACTACTCTAAACATAAATCACAAATGTTAAAGAAATATGTAGTTTCTAATAATTGTACAACAAAATAGATAGGGTCCAAATTGAATTAACTACATATGTAATTTTTATTTATTAGCAGATAGGTAACATTACATAGGCCATATTATAGTTTATAATATAAAATCAAATTAGGTGTATAATTAAATTAATCAATTCATACCGTTACTACTAATAACTTTAATTATGGTTTACCCTGTATATTTAAGTCTAAATAAACAATTCTTGTTATATCAAATATTTTACAAAAATGAATTTATTATTAGGAGAATAGTTTATTTTATAAAATGTAGGTGATGTAGAAAATACATAAACGGATATTCATTATAGCTGCCATCATTAAAATAAAATCATGAATTTATCTTTGATA